TACATATAATACATATTTATATTCACATTTTTAATTTATACTTATATTTATATTTATATATTTATATTTATATTTATATATTTATATTTATATTTATATTTATATTTATATTTATATTTATATATTTATATTTATATTTATATGTATATAAACAAACCTGGTTTTTCGAATTTGCTATTCATGGCATCGAAATCGAATTCCTCAGCAACTTGGTTTTTAAGTTGCATATTAGGTCTGCTCTGCAGCTCGCCAACGATGCCTCTGTGTGTTTCGGTGTATGTACATCTCCCTTCATTTCTTCCTGTTCTTTCTCCTTCTCTTCCTTCTAGTCTTTGTGTTCTGCCGCGGGTAGACTGACGCCCCCCTCGACCTCCTCTCCCCCGCAGGCTTGTTGGTGGTGCTGGTGCCCGCGTACCGTCTTGCTGCTGCGGCCCAGCTGCAACACCACTCAAATCCTCTTCAGTCTGCTGCTGCTGCTGCTGCTGCTGCTGCTGGGGAGCACCGCCAGCACCCCCTCTGCCTGAAAACGGGGCAGCAGGGGGGCAGCAAGACTCCCCCATCTCGTTGGGGGCCCCCCCGAGGCCCCCAAACACAGAAGGGGGGGGGCCCCCACTAGGGGGGCCCCCGCTGGGCCTGCCCGGTACATGCGACACAGGGGAACCGACCCCAGGGCGAAGGAGAGATGAAGCCCCGCCAGAACGCTGAGGGGGCCCCGAGGGGCCCCCCATCTCCATGCTTATGATTGCAGGGTCTTGTGGGTATGCAGGCACTGGGGCTGCTGGTACCTCTGGCTCGCTGCACACTGTAAGGTCTTTGATATGTTTGCCTGCATACATACACGCAACACAAACACAGCAGAAGAAACCTCTAAGTCTCAGCCATACCATACCCACAAGAAACTCACAAACTCATCAAGAGGCCCTGACTATGACTACCAACAGTTGCGGCGGCTGGGGGGCCCCCCGATAGGGGGCCCACCAGCCGCAGTGATGTATGCACATGAATTGCAGTAGAAACAATGGTAAGAATGCTGATAGACTGATCAGAGAAACTATGCTGATGAGCAGAAAGGATAAAATAAATAAATACCGACCATAGAATACGACGGAGTTGTATATCTCGGGCGAAGGAGGAACATGAATGGGCACCGGCCTGCCTTCTGTACCAAAGGACTGAACAAAGCGGAGAGAAACCGTAGAAGCGATCGGGTTTATAGAATCGAGAACACCTGCAGAAGAAAAAAAAAAAAAAAANAAAAAAAAAAAAAAAAAAAAAAAAAAACGAACCCATGCAGAAACAGTCAGAAATACACCCACATCTCCCTGTACACCCCACCACAAACATACAGATAAATAATATTACGCTTAAACAGAGAAAACAAAACGAATGCGCATGTTTCCCGATCAAGACGACGAAGAACAAAACATAGCTGCGTGGAAAGCTGAATATACAGGCTGCGGAAAGCTGCACTCCGAGAGCAGTTTCAGGCCACCACAAAACAAAATTAATGAAACTAAACAATAAAGAAAACAAACTCGGATGCAGTGTAAAGAAAGCTGCAATGGTTGCGAAAAAGAAGAAGAAAACACAAACACGAGCGACGAAGCAGGGGTTGATGATGTGAACGGCGGTAAGCACTCAATAAAAAGTTTCCGTTGACGTGAATATTTCAACATACATAACAAGGAATACAATATATTCATGTATGCAAATTTTCAGCGAAAAAGATTCATAAATAAACGCGGCAGAAGCCCGTTCATGTTTGTGCATATACTCTGCACGCCCGAGGGCGGCGGATTTCTCTTTGGTGAGGATTCTTGCTGTTTCTGGATGCTTTATGGCGGTTTCTTTTGAATATATTCAACAAAATGCTAGAAAACAAAAGGTATGAACTTGCAAAAAGAGCAGCCCCACTTGATCATCATCATACTGTAGAAACCAGAAAAAGAGCGCGCATATGTCGTGAGGAGATGAAAGCTTATTTTCTTTCGTCTCACCTTCATAGCGAATATCCGAAGTTGTAATTAAAGAAATTTTGCTGCCGATATACGGCAGCTCCTCCCCAGCCGCCTGTGAACCCATGTTGAATATCTTACAACGCTGACTATTGGGTGTTTCTCCTCGGCAGTTGGGGGAACAGCAGCTCTTGGTGCATCCCTAAGAAAATTTATCCTTTTAAACATCATCATACCCTCATATTCATCTTCTTCCCCACCCAAACACCTGCAACATGCACCAGCCAGCCCAGCTCCGCAACATACGAACGAGCCCGCCGCGGCTGCTACTGATGCATGCAATATGTGTGTGTTCAATCAACGCCAGACCACGAAGCACAAAACNAACACCAAGTAACCAGACATTTCCAGCCTTTTTTGCGGAATTATTCTTCGCCTTTTTGTCTCAGCTCAAGGTCTTGCATACTGTGGAGACGAGATGCTTCGCTGCCGCTTCGGTGTCTAGTATCTATAGCGTTGCTGGAACACAGCAACCAAGTGCAATGGCTCCAACACTCGTGGCTAACCAGCGGTATTTACACAAAAACACTCATGAATGGGCCTTCTAAAGTGCTGCAGTGATGGACCAATATGCGACCTGGTTAGCACCCATGCATGCATATGCTGTCTGTTGCATAGGTGGAGAGCGAGCGGCAGTAAGCTGCTGCCGCTCCGCAGCCAGGCTGTAGTATTCTCAACTATAGAACCCACGCAGCCCAGGGGAGGAATGATGGAGTTCCTGCGCAGCCTATACCCCGCAGAATCGCGAGAGCGATGAGTTGTTGTGCTGCTGTGCTGCTGTCTGTTGTGGGCCCCTCCGCATGTAGGCTTAGTGTAGCATAACCGGTTCGAAATTGGTACGGATGTTCCTATTTGAATGCAGGCTAGTCACTGAATAGGTGTTCAACAAGTGTTTGCTTTAGTGCATGCATCCAGGTGGCGCTTTGGTGGGCTTGCGCATGCGGTTGCTTTGCAACATGAGTTGCAGCAGGGTGCGTTGGAACTTATGTCGCTTCTTCTTTATACAAGGAATGGGTTGTAATGCAGCTATGCTCAGGGCGTCTGGAGGCTGCAGGGGATGCCAGCTTCTTATGAGGGTGTTTATTATCTTGTAGCTCACGATGCTCTTCAGCTACGGTGAAGGGCTCCGGCTAAACACGGTAGCGCTTCATGAGTAGGATGTGCATGCAAGAACTGTGACACCACTTCCACACCGGGGTGGTCTCGCGTACAGCACCAGTTATTGTTGAAGGTCGCTTGCACCCCTCCCCACCACCACCACCACCACCACCACCACCGCGAACAGTTTTGAGTACTGCCGTCAAAATATTTATGAAGGATTCACCTTTCCTCAATTCGCCCGTCGACTTTTCGTCCCAAAGCTGCGGATGAATCAGGCTCTGCCGTCCTGTGTGGAGGCGATCAATGGCTGGGCCTTGTCGCAGTGGAACGAGCACAGTGTCCACAGCTTATCCAGCTGAAAATGCCTTTAGCAAGAGAACAACTCGAAAAGAATGAATCCGCATTTGCTGGCCCCCCATATATAACGGGCATCTCAATGTTAAGTGCGGGAAGCGAGAGAATACCTTTCTCCTCTGATGGTTTGCTCTTGTCTTCAAAATACAGCACCAGGAGAGCTACAGCTCGTATCAGCATCTTCCTTATTAAAGAGGAAGCCACAAAAATTATGGTTGTTTCTTCTCAACAGTACCCCATATCTCTAACTTCCCCCAAGGATGAATTTCTCCTGAGATGAGCTGCGGTGTATGGTCTTATCTCCAGTAAGCAAGCGAACAGGCTGAACAAACTTAAGAAACTTAGACAAGGCAAGGGATGTTTTCTCTAGAAAACTTCGTTGAGAAGTATCAGTCCTTGGTGGACAAAACCCCAACGGTGGATTCGGAACTTGCATATCAATGGTTCATAGTAAAGCCTTCGCATGGAGAGAGAGANAAAAAAAAAAAAAAAAAAACATCGACTCCCGCACAGCATGCAGCCCGGTGATGGAGCTGAAAGAACTGGCGGCAGCACTGGCACACCCTCCCTCCCCCATTCAAGTTTGTGTGCACCCCGACTTGCATGATCATCTGTCGGATGCTAGGATAGCATGCAAGTTCCTGTTGATAGACTCATGGGGCGCCCATGCACATGCAGGTGTATGCTGCTTTGGTGGACAGAGTGGAGTGCAGATGTAGAATGATTTTTCCCTGGTGCGTGCATGTATTTCTACCTGAGCGGCGACTGAGGGCCAAGTAATCGTTCCTTAGATCGCTGCAGTATTCGTGTACGCACCAAAGAGGGCTTGTGTACGCTCGCATGCATCTGCAGCTGCCCTGTATCAGCAGTTGCAGCTACGTGTGTTGCATCTCCTGATAGATTAGCTATGCTCCCCACCAGCCCTGGGAAGCTGTACCCTACCGCTGTGCTCACAGAGCCTGTACACTCGAGGTTAAGCCGCATGGTTTGGGGGGCCAGTTGCATGACTCTGGCGCTGGCGCAGCTCACTGCGGCATTCCCCCAGATAGAGTATTCTCGTTCTGCTCAGCCAGCGTACTACATATTCTGAGGGCATCGCAAACCCTTTTCATAGTTCTCTACACCCCGCTGGAGCCTGGCTACCGAGTCATCAGGTTATGCGGAACATACATATATACGCGGAACATACACCAGAAGGAACATTATTCTATATGCGATATATATATATATATATATATATATATATATATATATATATATATATATATATATATATATAT